TTTCGAGAGTTTTAAAGCGACAGAAGTTCATGAGCTGGAAAAACTTCCTACGAATCTGAACAGACTACAGATTGAAGGATGCCCCGGACTAGAATCTCTGCCAGAGAGCTTGTTGCAAGACTGTCCTAATCTCCAAGAACTTTTAGTCGTTGGTTGCCATTCCCTGAAGGGCTTTACCTTTCTTGAAGGATACCCTTCATCCACTTTGAAGACTCTGTACATAAGAGATTGCATGAAGCTGGAACTTGGAGAAAGTTTCATATTCCAAGAGCTCGAGGATCTCTTCATAGGCAGTAGTTGCAGCACTCTCTGCTCATTCCCCTTAGCCTTGTTTCCGAAACTCAAAAGCCTTTCAATAAGACAGTGTGAGACATTCATCTGTTTCACCGTCACCTTGGATAGTGGTGATGTTGGTTTAGCTCTTGAGTCCTTGGAGATTACGGATTGTCCAAACCTGGAACGTTTCCCAAAAGAAGGATTGCTAACCCTGAAACTCACATCAATGCTACTCTCAAACTGTAGGAATCTCAAAGAACTTCCTGCAGATTTGTCTACATTCACTTCTCTTATGTCGATTCATATAAACGATTGTCCTAAACTTGAAGACATTCCGGACCAGGGTTTCCCCAAAAGTCTTATGACGCTTTGCATCAGTCGCTGTCAAAAGCTCAGACCAAAAGTGGAGTGGTTCATGTCTCGTCTTGGTAACTTGCGTGATCTTGAGATCGATGGAGGAAATGATGTCGACACTGAATCATTCCCTGATAAAGACCTCCTGCCTCGGAGCCTTTACTCTCTACGCATAAGGGATTTCAAGAATCTGCAGACTCTGAATTACCAAGGAACTCAAGGCTTACGAGCTCTGGGGATACTTGAAATCAGCGGATGTGATAAGTTAGCATCACTGCCAGATGAAGGACTTCCTTCCTCACTGTCTCTCCTGCGTATCAATGGCTGTCCTGTTTTGAAAGACAAGATATGTAAAAGAGATATGGAATGGTTCAAGATCAAGGATATCCAGCTGGTGGAGATCGATGGTGAACAACTCCTCCGTGGAAGGTATCTATAACCACTAATCTTTTTTTGCTGCTGAAAAGAGTGAAATTTACAATGTAACTATCATACTCAGTAAACATTCATATCATACTTTTGCTTTGGTTTCTTGCAGGAAGAAAACTGAACATCTCTTCTGAAAAGATCAACATTGCTTAAACTGAAGGAGATTGGCAAAGAATCTTCAAAGCCGAAGGTAGAGAAAATAAAGTTGAGAGAACATTTATATTTGCAGAGATACAGATACAATGTCTTGTACCCACTATGACTTGATACACACGACATTGTGATTTTTGAAAATACTGTTTGTGTTTGCTACCCGTTTCTCTTTTCTTCTATCATTTGTTGAGTGTGTGACTGTGTGATTTGTTCATTGTAATTTGTTTTTGATTTAATATGAGTCTCTTACATTACTACGACAGTTATGTTTGGCAGCAATTTCGTCACATTCAAGTTTAAAACATCACTCAAGAACTCCCTCCAAAATGCTCCAAAAATTCGTTTCAGAAATGCAATAAAACCGTAATAGTATCTCTCAGTCTAATTGTCTAAAATCGAGTTTCAGAACTCAGAACAAGAACTCCAAAATTCAGAAGCATGTTCACGGTTGATGTTGCTTTCCAGATACTACAGAACTGGAAAAATAACAATCTCTACTGAAAAATATAAAAATAAAAATTACTGAAGGAAAAACGAAATGTTGCATCATCACTCTCCTTCACCAGCAAAAAGCCAGTTCTGTCTCTGTCTTCTCCTAGTTTGTTGATGGTGGACGAGTGACTCGTGACCTCACTGGTGTCTTCGAAGGACTTACCCTGAAGAGAGAGATCAAAGAAAGGTTTCATAACAAATTTTCGATATCCAACGAAAGATTTGTTACAAAAGAGGAGAAACAAATGTACCTTATCGGCTGAGATCCTAACACTATTCCACTGCAGTTGAGCGCCGCAACTGCACTCTCTGCCTATTTCATCCCACAAGCATAAACACATTCAGTTTTATTCAGTAAAACTAAGCCTTTGAAATGGAAGAGGACACAAAAGCTGCAGTATTTAAAACAGAATCTGAGGGAGCTTTACCATGGCAAATTCAACAAAAGCTATGCGAGTAGAATGCATTTGATCACCAAGAAGCCTTATGCGAGTGACCTGTATAACCAAAGACGTGCTACTGCTTCATTTACCCATTTCTTGGAGAAAGATTGAAAAACAAAAAGAGTATTTTTCAGGTTCAAGACTGACCTCACCGCAGGCAGACTCAAAGAAGATTTTGACATCATCTTCAGTGGCCTGCAAATTTATTGAAGAAGTATCTTAGAACAGAGAACAAGTACACCAAAATGCAGAAAGACATAAACATAAACTGGGAACAAGTGTTTGTTTACATTCTTGTCGACATTTGTGCAGTAGATGGTTCTTGTGCACATCTCTCTCTCATCTTCTGACTGAATAAAATAGACAACCATAAATAGAAGTTTTTATACTCAAAAATCTAAAACCAAATTGATAAAAATGGAAGTTCTTGTTTCTTATATTACCCTGGGGAGAAATGTGGGATTCACGGGAAGAATAGCAGTTTTTGAAGGTAAGACTCTAACAGGATAATATCCGATCATCGTTCCACCGAGACTCAAAGCCGCTCGTGCACCTTCTGTTTGAAACAAGATCTAACTTATGTAAGTCAAATTTGGCACTGAGTTTTTTTACTAAAGACGATCGACATGTTTAACTTACGGTCATCAGAAAACTCAACAAACGCAAACCGAAGAACCGAATTTGGATCCCCACAGATTCGACAATCAACAACCTTCAGAAGAAGATAATGCTATGTTACTTGACAGCTAACTGAAAATAAGAAAGCTAATGGATTTCGAGTTTTCAACTTACTTGTCCACAACCGCTGAACAAGCCAGCGAGGACTTCCTCAGTCACCTAAATTCAAATGAAGAATAACAAAATGATGCAAAACTGAAAATTCCTTGTCTGAAAAACCTGAAGAGAGACTTAAGTAATGACTTACACTCTGATCAATGTCAGAGACATATACTGTTCTTCTAATACTATCTTCTCTTTGAGCCTTTGAAGCTCTTCCAGTTAACCTCACCCTCCTCCCTTGGTTATAGCCAACGCCGTTTCTTCTCTGTCATCCACAAACCAAAAACAAAAACAGACAATTTAACAAAATTCAGTTGACCAAATGTTAAGTAAAGATCATATAAGTGTTGCAAAACTTGACCATGTAAACCAAATTAATAAAAAAAAAAACCAAAACTTTCTATCTCAGTCATCAATTGAAACCTCCAAGCTAGAGACTTTCCAGCACAAGAACCCAAACCCACTCAGAATCAAACCCAAAACAACCAAAAATCCAAACTTTTCAGCTGTGAGAATCCAAATTTAGTCAGAAATTGTTACCCTCCGGTTAAAGCCATCCTTTTTGTTGTCACCGTCAAATTCTTCAGCAGATGGCTTCTTAGAGATTACAAATTCGTCAGAAGACAGAGAGTGGTTGTTCTTCTTGTAAGAAGGGAAAAACTCCTTAGCTTCCGGATTCAGCTTCTTAAACATCGCCACAAGCTTCTTCATTTGATCAAACTCCGGTTCGGATTTGGGTTTGAGGTCCGATTCGATTTCCGGTTTAGAATCTGGCATCAGACTCTTCTCAATTCCGCCGGCGATGACGTTGTCATGAACGGAATCGACGTCAGTGGGAATTTCAGTGATCGCAGCCATTAGATCAGAGATTCCAAATAAATTAGAAAACCCACAACAGCAACAAAAGATCACAATTCAACCAAAAACAGGAGACGGAAATAGAAAAGTTGTGAGCTTTTTATTCTCTCTTTCGTTCGTATTTTATTAGAAATGCAAGATGTGATATAAAGTATTTGGCTTTAAATCCAGAAATGAGAGTATTAAGGAACACCCATTTCAGAATTCCAACCAAAGCAGATGAGAATGCCTGATCGTAGATATATGATTTGGAATCTAATGTTCTATGAGAGAGAGAAATCTGATACGGTGGTTTCAGACGGTGGCGAAGAAGAAGACGACGAAGAAGAAGGAGAAGAAGGAATGATGGGTTTTGATTTTGGTTTTGGCTTCCTTTTTGGCCTTTTCTTACTCAAATGGACGCGACGCAGACTCTCACAAGAGTGCTTCTCTTCTTTTCCGGGGAAATAATTATTTTTAAAGAAAAATTACGTCAAAGAAACAAAATAAACAAAGAGAAATAAATATTTCTTTATTGTTTCCTTATTCCTCTTATGGTGCTTTAGATAATTACATATAAGCCTCAATATTTATTTATTTTCTCCATAATTGCCCCGATTTTAGATTTCGAACTTTTCAATCCAACGGGATCCTGTTAAGGGAAAAAAAATGGAAGGAATTCTTTACACACCACCAAAATAAAATAACAACATTCTTCACAAAAATAAAAGAATACTATTTTTCTCAACCCTGAAGGACTAGAATTTTAAATTTATTACATACCACTATTATAATTTGTATTTTTTTTTTGTGGATACCTTATTTCTCTTTCACACGGAATGCATTGAAATGTGTTTCTTAAAATGTTTTATCATTTAGCATCAACAAAAAACAGTTGCTTTCTTTGAACTTTCATTTTCAACATAATAATTTCATAATACGTCCGTTGTTTCTGCTCCATAAATCTTTGGATTTGTTGGGATTTTTCATTCTACTATTTAATTACTGATGGGATTCTTGACAAGAAAAGAAAAAGAAATAAAAAGGCAAATTGCAGGGATGCTTATTTCACTTTTTTTTTTTATCTGCTTTATTCCTATTTTGTTACTTTTTATATTATTTTCCGTTTCTTCTTAAATTTGGTTTTCATTTTCATGAAATCATCATAGCTTGGAGGCAAAAGTTTGAAGACTACCCACTCAAATGGAAACCAAGAAGTGGGAATAAAGTGGGAAAAGGAATAATTTCTTCATAACTCTATGTTCCTTCTTGTATCTCTCCATTGCTACATGATGATCACAAATTCACAAATGGACAAGTTTAATGATAAACAGTTGTTAACAAAAAACAGTAACCATACAACAACTTGTTAACTTTTTTTTTCTAGTGCAAGTAAAGAAAATGTAAACGAACTAAAAGTCTAAAATTTTGATTACATGAAACATGTTTATCTTCCTATATTCTTTTCACTAGTTTAATATATGCTGCTATAATATTTATATATGGAAAAATTTGTGTGCCGTCTATTAAAATATGAGAAAAAGGTTAATTGGTTCAGAAAATTGGCAAAAGATATGATGCAATGTAACTACAGCTGCGGTTTCCTGAAAGATGCTAACCAAACAAAAAGATAAACATCAGCAAATTCAGAACAATGTCGTATTTTCTTTTCTTTCCATAATAGTATTCGATATCAATTGGTTTTTTATCCATTGTAATAGACTATACATAGTATGATATACGTAGTAGAAGTAACAAAAAAAAGTTGTTCTTTCGATACCCTTTTTAATAGTTTCACGTATAAACAAACAGCTAAAAATAGTTGGCAAGTTGACTTGACACAGTCTTGCAATTCGTTCACGGAATCGGTTCGCAATATCCTTTATTTATTTTGCATAATTATCTGCTCATGCCGTTTAACAATTAAACACGTGGTGTATATTAAAAATGAAATATTTAATTGGTTGATAGCCATATCCTGAACAAATATGTTTTTTATATATCAAAGGTATTATCTAACATATGGCCACGACCATAAACTATGAGTTTATTTTGGTGGTCCTATCCACCTTTATATTCGATACTTCATGAGCCTTTTTCTTGTAAATGCTAAGAATTGAACGGCTTCTCGCCATAGAGACTAGAGAGCCAGTCTGATGATATCAAAGCTATGAATTAGGAGAATAACAAATCTTGTGCTCTAGATTGTTCATTGGTTGAAGTAGTACAGTTATTTTACTGGGCTTGGGGGACAAAGCCCACAATTATATTCCGACCCAGATACCCGACCCGACTAAACTAACAA